TGAAAGGGAAAGAAGGGAGGAGAAAAAGGAAGGGATAGTTGCAGAATTTCTACCTGCCCTGATTCTGAAGGTAGCCAGGACAAGAACATCAATCACTATTACAGCACAGCCCACCTGGTGAATTCCAAGCAAAAGTCAAATCAGAGAGCAAATTCCCAGCTCTGCCTTATAGCATGTGATTTCCATCAACTGTGTCTCAATCAGCCCTGAGAGAATGGCTGGCCTATAAGTCTGATGTGTGATTCATTAAAGGTAAGGTGGACAAAGAGCCTTACTCAAGAGTATTACAAATGGTGAGTGCTTTGTTATGACTGGATTTCATCATTTTTGCTCTGATCCATCTGGTTTCTGATATACAAGCCAGGTAGGTAGTAAGGAAACCTGAAGTCTGAGAAGCCTGGCTTGCATGTGTATAGAATCAAGTTCCAAACTGCTAACACTAATGGACAGCCTTATGACAAAAGGCAGGGTCTGGCTGACCTATACCTCTAGAAGCCCATAACAAGTAATAGTCCTAGTGTGACCAAGTTTAAAAACACCCACATAACCTGTGGGAGCAGCTGACCATACAATCTAGTCTCCAAAAGTCAATGACACATTACCCAGTTACCAGGACTGACTGGTTACCTTATTTCTTCATAGATCTCCATAAAAAAAATTTGAGGTCTTGGGATCCCTCTCAGCACAGTTTTTTGTTTTTTGGTCGGTTGTGGGGTTTGAACTCTGGGCCTGGACTCTGTCCTTGAGCTTTTCAGCTCAAGGTAAGGGCTCTACCACTAGAGTCACAGCACTACTTCTGGTTTTCTGGTAGTTAATTGGAGCTAAGAATCTCATAGACTTTCTTGCCCAGGCTGGCTTTGAACCATGCTCCACTGATTTCAGCCTTCTGAGTAGCTAGAATTATAGATGTGAGCCATGCTTGGCTTTTTTTTTAAAAAAATACTTTTCTAATTATTATTAAGGAGTTGCACAAAGGGATCACAATTCCATAAGTCAGATTATGAGTACAATACTTATAGGGCATGTTACTTTTCGCTTTCTTTTGCATTAATAAATCTGTTTCTGGCCATGAGCCTATGGCTCATGCCTGTAGTCCTTTCTATTCAGGAGGCTGAGATCTGAGGAGTATGGTTCAAAGCCAGTCTGGGCAGGAAAGTCCATGAGACCCTTATCTCTAATTACCACCAGAAAACTGGCTCAAAGTGGTATAGTGCTAGCCTTGAGTGAAAAAGTCAGGGATAGCACTCTGGCCCTGAGTTCAAGCCCCACAACTGACAAAAAATAAAAATAATAAATCAGTTCTTGCTTAAATCATCTCTGTGTTTATCTTTGTATCCTTTCTCTGATATAAATATGAGCCCTGGTAACACTTTGGCAAACTAGGCCAGGAGACTGGAAGGGAATCTACTCAGTAGGATGGCTTTATTTTTCTCTGACTCCAGTAAACCTACTTGATTCCTAATCAATGTAGGAAGGAGGACTTCCTTTTTAGTTTTTTGCTTCCATAATGGTAGAGGTTTACTATTTTGGTCTGGGAGGACCAAATCATTATTAGTTCATCTGCAAGTACAGGGTTAACATATAAAGATTTTGAGCTCTTTGTATATTTTCTCTTCCTTCTGTCTTCTTGTTTGTACTAAGATAATTTTGCTATTCAAGAGAAGACCAGGGCTGGGAAGGTTGCTCAGTGGTAGAGTGCTCATCTTGCATGCATGAGGCCCTGGGTTCGATTCCTCAGTACCACATAAGCAGAAAAAAAAAAGCTGGAAGTGGCGCTGTGGCTCAAGTGGTAGAGTGCTAGCCTTGAGCTGAAGAGCTGAGGGACAGTGCCCAGGCCCAGAGTTCAGCCCAGGCCCAGACCCCCCCCCCAAAAAAAAACCAATAGGAAAAAAAATGCATGAAGTCATGCTCTTTAAAAATCCCTTAAGGAAGTAGTGATGTAGCTCAAATGGTAGAGCGCTAGCCTTGAGCTGAAGAGCTGAGGGACAGCGCCCAGGCCCAGAATTCAAGCCCAATGGCCAACAACAACAAAAAAAAATCGCTTTAAAAATTCAATCTGGGGGCTGGGAAGGTGGCTCAGTGATAGAGTGCTTGCCTTGCATGCCTGAGGCCCTGAGTTCGACTCCTCAGCACCACATAAGCAAAAAGAAAAAAAAAAGCTGGAAGTGGCGCTATGGCTCAAGTCGTAGAGCGCTCGCCTTGAGCTGAAGAGCTGTGAGACAGCGCTCAGGCCCAGAGATCAGGCCCCATGACCAGACCCCCAAAAAATAAATAAATAAAAATAAAAATTCAATCTGGGCTGGGCATAGTCATGAATGCCTGTAAATCCTACCTCCTCAGGAGGCTGATATCTTGAGGATTGGTGTGCATGCACATGTCATGTGAACATGAAGACTGATCTATTTGGACCTTGAGGTATAGTTTAAGTGGCAGAGCACTTGCCTTGCAAGTGCAAGGCTCTGAATTCAATCCTCTGAGTTTCTTCTCTTCCTAGAAATGTCTTCCTACTCTAAAATAATTTAAAAATCTTCCCAAAGGTTCTGCTTAGAACCCTCATAGTTTCATTCTCCATATTTATATCTTTCATCTATAAGAACTTTTTTTGTATAGTTAGGGATCAAGTTTATTTTTTTCCAGTTGGATACCTACATGTTGTAATACTTTAATACGCCATTTTTCCCTTTCTCTGCTGATTTTAAATGGTATTTTAAATCATATCTAAAGCTGGACATTGGTTCTTTTTGTTTCTTTTGGGGGGCAGGGTTATGAGGCTTGAACTCAGGTCCTGGGTGCTATCTTTGTGCTTTATGTATAAGGCTAGCCCTCTATCTTTTTTTTTTCTTTGTCAGTTGTGGGGCCTGAACTCTGGATCTGGGCGCTGTCCCTCAGCTCTTCAGCTTAAGGCTAGTGCTCTACTGCTTGAGCCACAGCGCCTCTTCCAGCTTTTTCTGCTTATGTGGTGCTGAGGAATCAGACCCAGGGCCTCATGCATGCAAGAGGAGCACTCTACCACTGAGCCACCTTCCCAGCCCCCCTCTATCATTTTGAGCCACAGCTCCACTTCCAGTTTTTAGGTGGTTAATTGAAGATAATGATTCTCAAGACTTTGCTGCCTGGCCTGGCTTCAAACTGTGATCCTCAGACCTTAGCCTCCTGAGTAGCTAGGATTATAGGCGTGAGCCACCAACGTACCAATGTCCAACTCCCATGAGAATTTTATCCCCAAAAAAACCCAAAGAAATGGGGCTGGGAAGGTGGCTCAGTGGTAGAGTGCTTGCCTTGTATGCATGAGGCCCTGAGTTCGATTCCTCAGCACTACATAAGCAGAAAAAGCCAGCAGTGGCGCTATGGTTCAAGTGGTAGAGTGCTAGCCTTGATCTGAAGAGCTGAGGGACAGCTCCCAGGCCCAGTGTTCAAGCCACATGACCGACCAAAAAAAAAAAACAAAAACAAAAACCCAAACCCAAAACCAACCAAACAAACAAAAAAACTACAGAAAAAGCCAGTAGTGGCGCTGTGGCTCAAGTGGTAGAGTGCTAGTTTTAAACAAAAGAAGCTCAGGGACAGCACCTAGGCCTTAAGTTCAAAGCCCCAGTAATGGCACACACACACACAAAATCATATCTAAATATCAATGGTTTAATATTTTGGTACAACTACATGATGGTCTTTGGATTGTAACACTTAATTATTGCTTTTAGCAAACTATAGTATTTTTCCATAAGTCTAAGCAATTTGTATTCCCCTCCTTTTTTTGTGGTACTGGGGAGTTTGATCTCTATGGCCTTTTGCTTGCTAGGCAGGTGCTCTACTACTTGAGCCATATGCCCAGCACTGTGTTCCTTCTACTATCTTTTCTTTAGTTTGTGTATACTTCTCCGCCTCCTAAACTCAAGGTAAACTGAACATCATTAAAAAATAAATTTATGAATACATTAACCACCTTTCTACATAATAGGTATATGGTTATGGTTATATAGTTATATTATTCTTATTTCTATTGTTATTTAAGTTTTGAGTAAAGCAAGTGGATTATCAACAAACTCTGAGAATTTATTTCAAAAAAAAATTCTAAGCCATGGCTGCTGATTTTTACCTTTAATCCCAACTACTCAGGAAATGGACATAGGAATATTGCTTTTAGGGCTTATTAGGGCAAAAGTGCATGGCCCTATCTAAAAAATAAAATATAAAAAGCAAGAAGGGGGCTGGGAAGTTGGCTCAGTGGTAAAGCGCTTGCCTTGCATGCATGAGACCCTGGGTTTGATTCCTCAGCACCACATAAGCAAAAAGAAAAAAAGCTGGAAGTGGCGCTGTGGCTCAAGTGGTAGAGCGCTAGCCTTGAGCTGAAGAGCTGAGGGACAGTGCCCAGGCCCAGAGTTCAGGCCCGGCGAGGGGGCCCCCCCCCAAAAAAGCAAGAAAGAGCCTGGCACCAGTGGCTCACGCCTGTAATCCTAGCTACTCAGGAGGCTGAGATCTGAGGGTCCCCGTTCAAAGCCAGCCCAGGCAGGAAAGTCTGTGAAACTCTTATCTCCAATAAAACAACCAGAAAACGGGAGGAGGCATTGTGGCTTAAGTGATAGAGCGCTTGCCTTGAGCTGAAGAGCTCAGTGACAGCACCTAGGCCCCGAATTCAAGCCCCATGAGTGACAAAACAAAAAGAGAGAAGGGCTGTGGGCATGGCACAGTGGGAAGGCTGCTCAGCAAGCAAGAGACCCTTTCACACCCCAGTAGCACTAAATATACATCTATATTAAAATATAAATAAGTGTATCCTATCTTCCAGGAGTAGAGGTTGAGGGGCCAGGAGAACACTTTCTCCCGGGAAAGAGATGCCATTGAGGGTGGAAGAGGGAGGAGGCAGTGGCTCCAGTTTCCTTCAGTTCTCCTAGCCACTAAGAAGACGGCTATCACCTTTCCTATAGCCCCTCCCCTCCAGGACTACATCTCCCAGGAGGCTGTGCTGTGCTTTGACAGTACTCGGATTTAACTAGGATTCTGGGCTCTACTTAGCTCTAAACTCTTGCTGACTGCCCAGGCGTGAGAGGAGCAAGAGACAGCCATAGCAGCCAAGAATTGGAGCCAGACCAGGAGCCCGAGACGGAATAAGGTTTGAAGCTGGAGCAGCAGCAGTAGCAACCGAAGAAGTGGGAAAATGCTGGTTATTTTAGTCCTGCTCACTTCCTTCCTTTCACTCTTGTATGTGACAGCTCCATCCATCAGGTTTGTCTTGATTTAATGATTCGTAATAGTAGTTTACAAAGCTTCCTCAGCTGCTAAAAGAGAATGGAAGGGAGGGGGAGGGGGAGAAAGAGCAGGGGGAAAAAAAGCAGGAAGGAAGGAGAGGTTATAAATGCCACAAATGAAAGTGAAAAGGAAGATGGGCGGGGGAGGGGGGGAGAGCTGCACTGAATTCTGACTCGTGCTAGGCTGAGCGGGTGACTGCCAAGCACTTCAATTTAGGCAAGTCCTCTCTATCCTCTCTTCTCTCTCTGTCTCTGTCTCTGTCTCTCTCTCTCTCTCTCTCTTGCTTGAATTCTGGACTTTTTTTTTTTTGAGTAGTTTGTTAGAGTTGAGCCTCGTGGAGTTTCTTGCCAAGGCTGGTTTCAAACCGTGATCCTCAGATTTCAGCCTCCAGAATAGCTCAGATTACAGGCATGAGCCACTGGTGCCTGGCACTCTTTCGTACTTCTAGTTACAAGTTTCCCTGTTGAGTTAAACACCAGGCACCCTGGGAAGGAAATGTACTCTTGGATTCTATCCTTAAAAAAAAGCTTAGGGATGGCTCTTCAGCTGTGAGATTTCTGGAGGTGTCCCCCCCAGAATTTGTGTTCAGAATGAAGATTTTTAAAAACTGCTGCTGATAAAGAAAGTTAAATGGACATATGGAGGACTGTCTGTCTAGGTCTACACATTGAAATCTGGGCCCCCATCCCAGTTCTACCACAGTTAGAACTTCTCCAAGCCTCAGTTTTCTTCATTGTAATGTGGAAAGGATTCTGAACTAGCTGAGAACACTAAAATAAATTATATCTGGGAAGTGCCTTGCCTGCTCCTGCAAGTTAGGTGGTGGTGCTCAGGAAGTATTGTTTCTGATCCCTCTCTGATCTTTTTTTTTTTTTAAACTCAAGAAGTCAGCAGGTGAGATTTTCTCTGGACGCACCCATGGCAGAAAGCCACTGAGCATGCTCTGCTCTCTGAAACTGGAGTGACAACCATGGTATTATTTGTGAGTGCCACCCCCAAGATTATGAGTCTTCAGTTACTATGACAATGCTCACTGGAGACCTAGGGCTCAGGACTACAGATTCTACTAATCTCTATCCTGCATATTTTAAATGGTAATTAGAAGAGGAAGCAGATCTCTAGGAGCTGCTAGAAATAAGCATGAGGTATCTTTGTTATCTGACAGCATTTCACTCAGTTTGCCCAAGTCATCACTGTAGACTCCATGTGACCTTCCCAATCTACACTTTATGAACTGGCCCCTACCTTGCCCAGTAGAAAAATGTCCCATGTAGTTGGGCACCAGTGGCTCACACCTGTAATCCAGCTATTCAAGATGTTAAGATTTGAGTATCGTAGTTCCAAGCCAGCCCAGACAGGAAATTTCCATGAGACTCTTTTCTTCAATTAACCATTCAAAAGCCAGAAATGGAGCTGTGATTCAAGGGGTTGAGCACCAGCCTTGAGTGAAAAAGCCAAGAGACAGCACTCAAGCTCTGAGTTCAAGCCCCAATTCTGGGGCTTGAAAGAAAGGAAAGGAAGGGAAGAGAAGCAGGCAAGAAAGCAAGGAAGGAAGAAAGGAAGGAAGGAAGGAAGAAAGGGAGGGAGGAAGGGGAAGAGAAGGGACGAAAGAAAAGATACAGAAAGGAAGAAAGAAAGAAAGAAATAAAGAAAGAGAGAGGGGGAGGGGGAGGGAGGGAGGAAGGGAGGAAGGAAGGAAGGAAGGAAGGAAGGAAGGAAGGATGGAAGATAGGAAGATAGGAAGGAAGATGGTTCATGCAGATTAGCTTCTTCAAGGACTCTGACTCTAACTTAAAATGCTACATGTCTTCCTTTTTTACATCTCCATGTGGGGTTGTGAAGGATGATGTGTGATGCTTTTGTTTCCCGTGCTGACAGGAAGTTCTTTGGTGGTGGAGTTTGTAGAACAAATGTGCAGCTTCCTGGGAAGGTGGTGGTGATCACAGGTGCCAACACGGGCATTGGCAAGGAGACGGCCAGAGAGCTGGCTCGCAGAGGTGAGTCTTCCCTCTCCTGCCTTTTTCACTGGGACTCATTCCACATTTCCTTACTTTTCCTCTTGGGCTTGGAGGCTCTGGCAAGAATTCAGGGAACCTGGGACTCAGATCTAATGTGATATTAATTTATTGTCAATCAGTCATTCTAATTGGAGAAACTCAGCAACATTAACTATTGGAGGATAATACCAGAGGTCCCAGTTGGGAGTTAAACTGACAGCAAGAAGACAGAGCAGCACGACTCTGAGAATCCACAAGTGGCAATGTGGCCACCCCAATGCTTTTAGTGGTGACTGTCCATTCGTCTCCGGCTTACTTACTGTACTACTACTTCTTTGTTAGTCTACGGTCTGAGCATAGCGTCCTTTCTGTCTTGACCTCAGGAGCTCGAGTCTACATTGCCTGCCGAGACGTACTGAAGGGGGAGTCTGCGGCCAGTGAAATCCGAGCAGACACGAAGAACTCCCAGGTGCTGGTACGGAAACTGGACCTTTCTGATACCAAATCCATCCGTGCCTTTGCTGAGGGTTTCCTGGCAGGTGAGACTCCAGAGGGTAGTGAGGAAAGCAGGAATTAGAGTACGGGAATGGTTGCTGTACCCCGATCTTACTGGACTGGTTCTGCTGTGGGAACCAGCAGGACAGGGAGCTGGCAGAGGGACAGAGGGTGGAGAAGTTGGGCAGGATCCTTATCAACTCTTTGTTCTTCAGGGGGAATGATGAAGATGTCAGCATCCTGTCTGGACTTGTATCTTGGCATCAAGGCTTGGTCTGATGCTATTCCCTTCTTCCATCCAGAAAGTCAAGCTTCTGTGGCAGAAGCATTAGCTGAGTTTGTACCTTTGCCCCAATTCTCCTAGGTCTTGGGAAATGTCCAAAGACAATAGGATCCATAAGGAATAGGACCAGGTCTGTCTTGTTTTATTACTGGATTCCTAGGGCCCCATCGTGTGGGCCTGATCCATATTTGGTAGTTAGTACACGGTGGCTGATTGAAAGAATGAACAATGTCCAGGAAGATAGGAGCAACGAAAATGAGAACCCCAGTAACAATTATTATTGACTGTCCCTGAGAAGGTCCAGTGGGGGATGGTTATTGACTGCTGAGACAACACCTTGGGTTAGAGGAAAGGAGCCAAACACTTCCTGCCTCAACAAGAAGGTTTGTGCATAAAGGCAACCAGGTAAATGTTCAGAACTGTGACAGCCAACCAGGGCACTCCTCACTAACCATGAGCTTTCCTTGGTTGTGCTTAATAGAGGAAAAACAGCTCCATATTCTGATCAACAATGCGGGAGTCATGATGTGCCCCTTTTCTAAGACAGCAGATGGCTTTGAAACCCACCTAGGAGTCAACCACCTGGGTAAGTATTCTTGGCTGGTTAAAAAGTGAGGCTCCTGTCCTTTGTCAAAAGATGACTCTAGCCAGGCACTGGTGGCTCACGCCTGTAATCCTAGCTACTCAGCAGGCTGAGATCTGAGGATGGCAGTTCAAAGCCAGCCTGGGCAGGAAAGTCCTCTTCAGAGCTGAGGGACAGTGCCCAGGCCCAGAGTTCAAGCCCCACAACCGAGAAAGAAAGAAAGAAAGAAAGAAAGAAAGAAAGAAAGAAAGAAA